TGCCCTCCCCCCCTCCCAGCCTGTCCTGTCCCCCTGGCACTGGGTGCAGGCTCCAGAGCACCCGTCAGATGGACCGCGGCGTCCTGGCTCCCCTGTCCTTCCTCCCACCTGACAAGGTAAAAGTTCTGGCTTACGAGACAGGGTCCCAGAGCCTCGCCCGACCCCCCAGCCTGGCCCAAAGGACACTGCCAGCCAGTGCTGGGTCCTCTGTCACCTCCTCTCTCTGTCTGGACGGGGCACACCCGCCAGCCTGTCGGCCCCAAGAGGTACTAATTGCCCGTCTGCCAGCCTCTATAATGACAGACCCGGCCGCAGCCCTGTCACCCACACCCGTTGTCTCTTCGCAGACAGACGCCCTTCCTGGGCCCGGACCAGGCAACGCTGAAACCCACAGCCCTCTTCCTCCCGGCCCTCCCCGCCCGGCCGCCGGGGTGCCTGGCTCCAGACGGAAAACCTCATCCACATTTTAGAGATGCCAGGCGGCCCGAGGGCCCCCGGCCAGGGTCTCCACCCAGTCTGGAGGGTGAGTCACGGAGGGTGGGGTGTGAAGGGGACCGTGAGGACAGGGTGCTGGGTGGGCACCTCCAGGCCCCAGCCGGCCCCACCCTTCCCAGGAGGCCGGCCAGACGCGCTCTCGGCCCGCGGGTCTGGGTTCGAGTCCTGTCCGAGTTCAGGAGGGAGCCGGGAGCCTGGACACTGACCGGGGAAGCGGCTCAACCTCCAGGGCCCTGGGGAGACCGGACCCCGTCCCCTCCCGGGGCTGTGCCGGGAGGGCAGGGAGGGGAGTCCCGCGGACAGGGAACACCAGCCAGGAAACACCTGGCAGAGCATCAGGAAGCAGGGTGGGCAGGCTCTACCCTTCTCACAAGTCATAACCCTCCACCCCCTCTCCCCCATTCGGGGGCTGTCATGGTCTCCTCCTGCCCCGGCCCCGGCCCGGCCCGGCCCCCTCCGCAGCCTCGTTGGGGATAAAAATAGCCGCCTGGGAGGGAGGCAGAGCTCCATGGAGGAAACCGCTCCTCCTGGGCCTGGCCCGCTCCCTTCCGCCCATCCCGACCCGGGAAGCTGGCGGAGGGGACAGGGGTCTGGGGGGGCCGGGCAGGGGACCCCCCGCC